TTTCTACTAGTAATGGGGTATGGAGACAGGACATTGCTAGAACACCCAAGGACACTTAGATGTAGGCTGTGGTGAACAGGAGATGTTGTCCCAAGTAAGAAGATGAGGAGCAACACTGTAGGTTGTCTTCTGAAGTACACATAGTCTATACCATGTGTGTACCTACACACACACATAATCACAAAACACATCATACATATACATCCAGCAAACATGATTTTAAAGCAGATTCCTTTTATTAATTTAGAATTTCTTATAATGTATTTGATCATATTCACTATCTGGGGAGTGCCAGCCTACATTTAGTGGCTGGTTAAGTACTGAGCTGAACTCAAGAAAGCCAGTAACAGAGAGGGAGGACTGATGATCAAAGGGATTAAGACTGGGCTGGTTTAACCCCCCGAAACAGCTGACCAGACAAAGGTTAACTCTTGAATCCCAGGCATCAGCCTGGGAATCCAGCATGGGACTGATCAAGACCCCCTGAATCTGGGTGTCAGTGAGGAGGCCTAGGTAATCTATTGAGCCTTGGGCAGCAGATCAGTAGCCATCCCAAGTATACACACGGACTTTGGACTCCCATAGAACAATGTGAGGTGCACTCTCACCCTGAACTCTTGGGGAAGGGTCTAGGCCCTGCCCTATATGAAATGACAGACTATGAACACCCCCATGGAGGGCCTCACCCTCCCTGGGGGAATGAGGGGATAACGGGGGGGGGATGGGGGAGGGCACGGGAGGAGGGGAGAGAAAGGGAGAGGGACCTGGAACTGACTTGTGAAGCAACCTTGTTTCTTATCTAAATTTAAAAAAAAAGAATAAAAAAATTTAGAATACCCATTAAAAAAAAGAATTCTATGACTAATAACAGAAACTCTAAGACATCAACGTTCAAGAAATTAATAAAAATAAATATTATTTAGACATTTACATGGCATATTTATATATAAATATTTGTATGTCGCTTAAGGCATGTCAAGTTCCACACAAGAATTAAGTAAAGCAAGAAGAGACAAAATAATAGACACATGTGCGTGCTCAGTACACTCTAAAAGCACCCCAATCCTCAGATGCCTTCAATCTCAATCTCTCCATCTACCCAAGAAAGAGAAGAATAACTCTTAAGAAGCTTTCTTATTGAAAAAAGAAGCTACAAAACTGGGTTGAGGACAAAGGATAGCTTGCAATCCCTGAATTTAGGATGCTGAGACAAGGGAATCAAGACCTTAAGGCCAACCTTAACTTCATACCAAATTCGAGTCTAATCTGGACTAAATGAGATACTATCTTAAAGTGTCATTAAAAATAATAAGGAGGCTCACTGCCAAACTCTTTCTACGAGGCTACAATTACCTTGATACCCAAGCCACACAAAGACACAACTAAGAAAGAGAACTATAGACCAATTTCCCTCATGAACATTGATGCAAAAATACTTGCAAACCGGATTCAAGAACACATCAGAAAAATCATCCACCATGATCAAGTAGGCTTCATTCCAGGAATGCAGGGATGGTTCAACATTAGAAAATCTATCAATGTAATCCACCATATTAAGAATCTGCGAAAGAAAAACCACATGATCATCTCACTAGATGCTGAAAAAGCCTTTGACAAAATCCAGCACCCCTTCATGATAAAGGTCCTAGAGAGATCAGGGATAACAGGAACGTACCTGAATATAATAAAACCAATATACAGTAAAGCAACAGCTAACATCAAACTAAATGGAGAGAAACTCAAAGCAATTCCTCTAAAATCAGGAACAAGACAAGGCTGTCCACTCTCTCCATATCTCTTCAATATTGTACTTGAAGTTCTAGCTACAGCAATAAGACAACAAAAGGAGATAAGGGGGATACAAATAGGAAAAGAAGAAGTCAAACTTTCATTATTTGCAGATGATATGATAGTTTACATAAGTGACCCAAAAAACTCCGCAAGGTTACTCCTAGAGCTGATAAACACCTTCAGCAATGTGGCAGGATACAAGGTAAACTCAAAAAAATCAGTGGCCCTATTATATACAGATGATGAAGTGACTGAGAAAGAAATCAGAGAAACATCACCTTTTACAATAGCCAAAAACAGCATCAAATATCTGGGGATAATGTTAACCAAGGAAGTGAAAGACCTGTATATCAAGAACTTTGTGTCTTTGAAGAAAGAAATCAAAGAAGATACCAGAAAATGGAAAGATCTCCCATGCTCTTGGATTGGTAGGATCAACATAATAAAAATGGCAATCTTGCCAAAAGCAGTCTATAGATTCAATGCAATCCCTATCAAAATTCCATCACAATTCTTCAAGGACCTGGAAAGAACATTACTCAACTTTATATGGAAAAACAAAAGGCCCAGGATAGCCAAAACATCCCTATACAATAAAGGAACTTCAGGAGGCATCACCATACCTGACTTCAAGCTCTATTATAGAGCTATAGTCCTGAAAACAGCTTGGTATTGGCACAAAAATAGGCAGGTAGACCAATGGAACCGAATCGAAACCCCTAATTTTAACCCACACACCTATGAACACCTGATTTTTGACAAAGAAGCTAAAACTGTACAGTGGAAAAAAGAAAGCATCTTCAACAAATGGTGCTGGCATAACTGGGTAATGGTATGCAGAAGACTGCAGATAGATCCATGTTTATCGCCTTGTACAAAACTTAAGTCCAAATGGATCAAAGATCTCAACATACATCCAGCCACACTGAAACTTTTAGAAGAGAAAGTGCGAGATACTATTCAACGAGTTGGTACAGGAGACCACTTCCTAAACATAACACCAGTGGCACAGGCACTGAGATCAACAATTAACAAATGGGACCTTCTGAAACTAAAAAGCTTCTGTAAGGCAAAGGACACAATCAAAAAGACAAAAAGGCAGGCCACAGAATGGGAAAAGATATTCACTAACCCCACATCTGACAGAGGGCTAATCTCCAAAATTTACAAAGAACTCAAGAAACAAGTCTCCAAAACACCAAAGGATCCACTTGAAAGGTGGGGTACAGAGCTAAATAGAGAATTCTCAGTAGAGGAGGCTAAAATGACCAAGAGACACTTAAGAAAGTGCTCAACATCCTTAGCCATCAGGGAAATGCAAATCAAAACAACTCTGAGATACCATCTTACTCCTGTCAGAATGGCTAGAATCAAAAACACCGAAGACAATTTATGCTGGAGAGGATGTGGAGGGAGAAGAACACTCCTCCACTGCTGGTGGGAATGCCGACTCATACAGCCTCTTTGGAAATCAGTATGGAGATTCCTCAGGAAAATGGGAATTAATCTACCACTAGACCCAGCAATTCCACTCTTAGGCATTTATCCAAATGAGGCAGGTTCATACAACAAGGGCATCTGTTCCACTATGTTCATAGCAGCATTGTTTGTAATAGCCAGAACCTGGAAGCAACCTAGATGCCCCTCAACTGAAGAGTGGATAGAGAAAATGTGGTACATTTACACAATGGAGTATTACTCAGCAGAAAAAAACAATGGAATCTTGAAATTCGCAGGGAAATGGATAGCACTGGAAGAAACCATCCTGAGTGAGGTAACCCAGTCGCAAAAAGACAAACATGGTATGTACTCACTCATATATGGATTTTAAATATGGATCAGGATAGTGCCAGTCTGCACTTCCACAGATAGAGAGTCTGGGAAACAGGAAAGAACCTAAAAGATATGCATATATGCATAGTACCCAAGAGAAGAGGATGGAGACAAGATCCTCTGAATGGATGGGGAACACGGCGAGGGGGGGGGTAGTGGGACCTGGGAAGAATAGAGGGGGTAAAGAGGAAGGGAGTTGGTCATGGGGGAACAGGAAGTTGAGGGGGTGGGAGTAAAATAGGGGGAAGAGGGAATCATAGGATCGAAGACAGATCAGGCACCAGAGTGACCTCGAGTGATCTAAAGGTATAACATCAATTGGCAAGCTAAGCAATAGTGGAAGGACCACCTCGAATGCCTATTCCTGATAATGAACTTGATGTCTATAACCATCCGGGAGCCTTCATCCTGTGACTGATGGAAGCAGAGGCAAACACACAACGAAGCACTGAACTGAACCCAAGGAACCCAGTGACAGAGAGAGAGGAGCGATGAGCAAATTGGCAAAGAATGGGCTGGCAAAACCAGCAGAGACAGCTGATCTGAACAGGGGAGTGCTCTTGGACCCCAGACCGACAGTGGGGAGGCCAGAATGGGACTGATCTGGACCCCCCCAAATGTGAGTGTCAGTGAGAAGGCCTGGGCAACCTATGGGACCCTGAGCTGTGGATCAGTGTCTATCCCTGGTATACAATCTGTCTTCATGTGCCTATAGCACAAAGAGAGATGCTCTCTCAGCCTGGACTCTTAGGGGAGTGCCTTGTCCCTACCAAGAGTAAAATGATAGACTCTAGATATCCCCTATGTGGAAGGATTTGGCAATAGGGTGGGAGGGAGGGTGGAAGGGGAGTGCGGGAGGAGGGGAGGGAGAGGGAACTGGGATTGACATGTAAAACAAGCTATTTAAAATTAAAATAAAAAATAATAAGGCTACTTAGTCATTTTCTTTTGTAACTAGGAAGAAAAGAAAAGCAAAATTGTAAAAATCTGAGCATGCCTTTAAGACTAGCTGAGTCCATTTTTAAAATCGAGACAAAAGGGACACCGTCACTCCCCCCTCAGAAGTGTCAGAGTTGTCTTTAAGACCATGTTGGAGTTTCTGCCTATTTCTGTGTGTTTTTCCGATTTTGGTTTTTATTTTGTCTTTTTGTCATTTGGTACACGGAAAGGAGTGGGGAGAAAAGGCATTCATCCATCTCTTGCCTCCTTTAATATGGACTAGAATAGTGAGATTATAGCAAGCCTGATCAAAATTGTTGCACCATTTCCAAGCCTGTCAGCAGCCTAGGAACTCTGGGTCTGGGCTTAAAGTCTCAAGGTGATGCTGTAAATTATTGACTGCCAGAGTTTTTTTCCCTCTTAATTTAAAGGGGAAGTATACGACATACTGTCTGCCCTTAACCCCTAACACCTTTAACGCATACATAACTGCCTGAAACACAGCTACAGAGAACAGGTATGCTTTGGCACTAAGACACTTTGAAAGGCCAATGGCATGAGTAACTTCAGGAGTCACAGTCCGTGGACGTATTCTGGCCAGCATTTTCCAACTGTGTCATTCAGCATCTCTTTACAACCTGGAACTTCACAATCTGGAACTGTCAGTTTCTCGGTTTAGATATCTCTCACGCCAGGAACCATGGCGGGGAACGAAACCACCAGAGTATCGCCTGGCGGGGAGTCATTGACGGTTGTGGGGTCCCGTCATGCGCTGATCCGGACCCTGGGCCTTCTCCGTCTGCTGCAACTGTTATCTACCTGTGTGACTTTCTCACTAGTGGCCCACGGAGGTATCTGGCTGGGCTCCATGGGTAAATGGTGCATGTTCTCCTGGTGCTTCTGCTTCTCCATGACCCTGATGATCCTCATTGTGGAACTGGGTGGTTTCCAGAACCGCATCCCCCTGTCATGGCTAGATTTCCCTATCACCTGCGCCAGCTATGCCTTCTTCTTCTGCCTGTCGGCTTCCATCATCTACCCTATCACCTATGTGCGGTTTTTGGGACAAGGATATGCCAGAAAACGTGCTGTCACCGCCACAATCTTCTCCAGCATTGCCTGTATGGCATATGCAACAGAAGTGACCTGGACTCAGGCAAGGCCCGGTAGGGTAAATTCCTACATGACCAGCGTGCCCGGGAAGCTCAAGGTCTTCGAGTCCTTTATAGCATGCGTCATCTTTCTCTTCATCAGCAACCCACACCTGTACATGCTTGAACCTGCCCTGGAGTGGTGCGTGGCTGTGTACTCCATATGCTTCATCCTAACCATGGTGATCATCGTGCTGAACCTGGGGAATTGTACCAACATTGTGCCCATGCCCTTCCCCACCTTCTTGAAAAGTGTGACCTACCTGTCTGTCTTCTTGTACGCTACTGCCATTGTCCTCTGGCCCCTCTACCAGTTCAGTGCGCAGTTTAATGGCCATCCCCACAGAAAAATGGATGTGACATGTCAGTACAAATATCCTCACTCAGTGTGTGCCTGGGATCGCCGATTAGCAGTGGCAATCTTGACTGGTGTCAACCTGCTAGCATATATAGCTGATTTTATGCACTTTTATACCAAGGTGTAAGATTCACAAGGGGATCCCGTGGCGTGGCCCTGATGCAACACCTTCATTCTTCTTGCCCTCTTTTCTCTTGTCCCCTTTGCTTTATACTTTTTTCCTGCTCCCATTTTCTCTTTCTGGTTTATTTTCCTTCCCTTTTCTTTTCTGGTTTGTTTTTCTTATCACATCTGGCTTTTTCCCTGAACTGTGTCTCCATAGGCCTCAGCTTCAACACTTTTGTTTGTCCAATCTGTTTTTCTATTAGTTTTCTCTTTCTTATATTTTTATTGCCTGGTCACATCTTTCTCTTTCCTGGGAGAGTCTTTGCACTTCTTGCTGTGTCTATCCACTACTTCTACCACTGAAGGTGTTAACTTCACATATTCAGAATCCTCTGCAGTTCTTCCTACCATGGGCCTAAGACGCCTTTTGCAAAACCATGAGCAAATGTTCAGGCTTTCTTTATGCACTGTTATTATTACTTTATGTGTGTAATGTTCCCTCAATTAATCCTTAATTTCTATTTCTAATCCTAAACATTATCACAAGTCAGTCTCTGTTTCTCTATCTGGAGTTACTCTTTGCTTGATTAATTACTAATGTATGGGTTTGTTCTCTGATTTAATATCTCAAGTCTTACTGAACCCATATACATAATACCAAAGCATATTTTATTTCATATGCTCAACTGGATACCATTATCTACTACATAAAAAGGTCGTATCTTAATAAATACATACCAAAGTACTTACTTTAGAAGTCCAACATATGGCATTCACACAATTTATGTAAACACATGGATAATAACAGCTTCTAATAAAGCCTACATTGTTTTGACTTAAGGTAAGAAATTGAATGTTTTTTATGTCATTGAATAAACAGTTTGCTATTATATAAACACAGCACATCCACATATATATACATACATACACAATATGTTGGTCATGACCCCTTTGGGAGTTTGAATGACTCTTTCACAGGGACGGCCTAATACCATCTGAAAACTTATATTTACATTATGATTCATAACAGTAGCAAAATGACAGTTTTGAGGGATCATTGTAAATAATCATATGGCTGAGGGGCACCACAATGTGAAGAGCTGTAGTAAAGCGTCTCAGCATTAGGAAGATTCAGAATCACTTTCATAAGGCATCACCAAATTTTTTTCATTGCACCATTTTTCTGTCTAGATTAATATTTCCACTGATTGCTGTGCTTCATTTTGTATAACTAAAGAAACTACAACTTTAATGCTACATTTTTAAAAACATTTTATATGCAGTAAACAGTTGAGTTTTTTTCACATCTAGTATTTTCTCACTTAACTTAGACAAGACTAAGGTGATTACCATGCTGTATTTTACAACACGATTATTCTGGCATTTTCTTAAATGTAGGAAGACCGTTTTAATAATTTTCACATAGAAGTTAATCAGTATTGATTTTAACTGCCAACTGATCCTTGTTTCCCAAAAATAGCACAACAGTTTGTCACAAAACTGATTGTATTTTCTTAACTTTCAAAATGGGGGCAAAAATTCATAGTATTTAGCTATTAATTAATCTTAATTAAGGAGAGCAAATGAAACTCTAGCCTGGATATTCATGAGTATATAAAAAACTTTAAATCAGCTCTGGGGAATATTTAAAAATACTTATTCATGACTATGAAATTTTGGGCAAGGTTACCACAGATCTGTCTCCAAAAAACAGTAGAGAAATATTTGGTTACTTAAAACTGTTTTAGTTAAAACATGACAAATCATTATCTATTTTACATTTTAGTAATTTTTGGTCTCAGTTTTGTATCCAAGAAAGGGAAAGAAAATTACTGAATATGCCATCAGGGAATCTTACAAGCATAGGGCCATAAATAATATTTATTGATGTTTAGGAGACAAATAGGATATAAAGTCAGGTTGCATATTTGTGTATTTTCCTAGAAACATTGCTTATTTTAACAGCTGAACAGTAAGATAGCACCTATCCCCAACAGAACTTCTCTAACAGAATCAAGCATGTTGGGGTTGTAAGGACAACATGATCCTGCCAAGGGCAGTACTTCACAGTGCTGCTGAGAAAATACTTTAAAGAAAAGTGAGAGTGGGAAGGTGTAACATCTTCCAGAGACTCACGGAGATAAATGAGGTAGATAAATACCAGTAGCTAAATCACTCAGTTGTTAACAGTTTTAACATGTTGTATTCCAAAGTAATCTCACTGTGAAGTTATTTTATGTCTATATAGTTGCTATGCGAAAGTCACCACCAGAGCTACATGTATAAATCTTACATTAGCTTTTAAATGATAAAAATATGCTCATACCACATGCATTTGATTAAGTCTAAAAGTGTCGGTCCTTAGGTAAAATTTGATTGTGAAATAGTGACTTATGAAATAGCAATCATAATGAGCCACTTTCAGGGAAAAACATGCAGACCTATCATCATGATTGCTGGAATTCATGGTTCTTTTGGAGCAGGGAACTATGTGTTTAGAATTAAATTGGAGGCAGGGAGTTGGGTATCCAAAAAGATGTCATTCACTGAGTCTTGCCTAGGAAAGACATAATTTTGTCATGGTGTCCATCATTAATGCTTTACCAGGAAATTAGATTGAAAACTTCACTTCAAATGCATTTCTCTAATTTCTATAGAAAGATTTTTTCCTCAAATATCCTCATCTTCTTATATAGACTCTTGAAGATAAGAACTTTTGAAAAAGCTGGAGCAGAGAAACAGAATGGTTTGCCAAGGTTCTGTGGTGAAAGTTCAAAAGAGCCAGATTTGCAGCTACATTAGCCATCTCCTTTTCACATGCAGTACTCCTTTCCTCCAGTGATAATTAGAATAAGAAAACTGTCAATGATTCTTTGGTTTGATACTCTTTATTCTGTAAGAATAAGTTGTGACGTAATACCGCCATTTGCCTGAATTGCCTGGTGGTATTACATACCATACTCCTCACTCCACTCCAGTTATAGTCTTTATAAAATAATTTATAAGAAGTAGATAGTATAGGAATTCAAGGAAAATTGCTATAAATATTTTATATTTTGATTTGTTAACCAGCTCAAATTATTAATCATACAGAATCCCAATAAATAAAAAATTAAGAGTAATGGTGCTTTCCATTTTTGAACACTTTAACCCCATGCCCAATAATGAGCAGAGCCTTGCCCACCTTAGGTTTTAAAAATGACAACTTTTACTTCATGTGTGTAAAATTAGTAAGTGAGTTACTTTATACATAGAGGGAATAACTTTTAAGGGGGGGTTATTAGCTGGATTGAAGCAGATCACTATTTAAGAACATAGTGTAATTTATTTCACAAATTAATAGAGCTTATAAGGCCCAAGAAGCATGATGATCCAAATTGAACTTCTCAGCGAGCAACAGTTTCTTGAATAAAACCTGGGATTCTGCATGAATAAAACTCATGGTAATAATTTACAATATTTTCTAGTTCAAATATTTGATAATGTTATAATTATTTAAATGCCTACAATTTTCTTGGCTATTCCAATACTAGCATCAATATAATTAGCCATATAAAAACATTTAGAACTTTAAACTTAAGCTGAAACACTTGGATTATTATATAATCCAACTTCTGGTATTGTATTTCAAATATAGAGTCAATATTAAAAAAAGAAATAACTAAATTAGCCTCAAAATGTAAATCTTACCTTCAGAGATGCTTTTCATATAAAAACAAATTCAACAGACTTCTGGTAATTTAAGCAAAAATGAAAGTATTCCAAGTCATCTATTTTAAAACTACTTTTAAAAAATTCATACCATTTTTTTTAATTCATACCATTTTTACTTTTACCATTACATAACCATTAACCCTGAAACTTTATGATTATTATCTTGACTAAATCATTGTAAATACTAACTTTTTATTGACATATTTATTTTTCTTAAAATTTTCTTAATGTCTTAATTTGCCTAATTGAATTCAAATTTCTTTAATGTTAAACATGTCATTTGTGGAGTCACATTATGTTCTTGTATGGAGTTCTCTATATTTGCAAACCTGACTTAAAAATCTCAAGATGATGTTTAAAGATAACAAGGACCCATTCTTATATTTAAAGTTATGGATAAGTTTGAAGTAATTGTTGCATTAAAAAAGTGAATATTGGTTAGATATAACTGAACCTGAATAAATTTTGAACTGATTCCTTTCACAAGAAACAAAACATTCATGGTTTTGTACAGTGGATAAACAAATTTATGCAGAAAATAAGAAAATTTACAATAATGTCTTCAAGAAGAATTATTAATAAAACAACAAAAAATATCAGTTGTTAGAAGATGAAGTAGGAACTTCTATAGTCAGTTGGTAAGAATGCTGGGAACTTGACATGAAATGTTTCAATTAATTAAATCTTGCTGTTTAAATTTTGTGAAACTTTTCCCTCACAAATTTACAGCAATGCTATAACCTATGTGTAATAAGAATATTATCAATTTTAATTCAGAAAACTTTATTGGCTTAAAATATACTTTCAAAATTAATTATGAATCCTGTTATACACAGTTAAATGTACGAAATTCAAAAAGTGTTATATGGCTGCTTGCATAACTCAGAGGCTCAGTAATTTTTAAGCATGTGTAAAATCCTTTGTTTACATCCTTGAACAAAAATTTCTTATAAGGAATGAGACTCTGAGTTAGATATGTTCTCCTAGAATATCTGTTAGCCTTTGGGCAGGCAGAGTCAAGAAACATGTTCAGAGATCTGGCTGCCTCTACATTTACACTTAACCTACATTGTCATACTATAAAACTCATTTTAAGAAATGCTCATCAGGCTGCAGTGATGTTTCAGTAGTTAAGAGTAACTGCTGCTCTTTTTCAGTTGATTGGAATCACAACATCTAACAGGGTGACTTGGCTGCTTGTAACTCTAGCCCCAGGGATCTGTCTTGTCTTCCAGTGTCTTCACACACTGCAGTCAAATGCACACTGCCCACGATTCCGCCCATATTAAATTATTTTAAAAATATAAATAAAATCTTCTTTACACATGGATTACGCATTAAAAATGTTTAAAGGAGAACACTTCATGGAAGTTTATTGGTTCTTTTGAATTTTTTTAATGAAGGCTCATGTTTATTGCCTGGCCGAACCCTATTATGGTATACATTTACTTTACCAAGTATGACTGTAGTAATGTTGCTGCTAGTCACACAGATCATGACACCCCCACATTCTAAGATATTTTTAACAGTTCTTTTATTCAGTTCTCCCAAAATAAGAAAGAGTTTTGACTGCTGAAGTGATAACCCTAATTATTGTAAACAAAAGCTGGCCTTTCTTCAATTCCTTCTGCTCACTTCCCTTTCTTTAATTGACCCAGCAGCTGTCACTCTTGATGCACCAAGCTCCCTGTAGCTCAGTATTGATTCTCCGAGAAAGCTACATTGAAGTAGCTGCTCTTGAATCTAATTTTTTCATCCAACTTGACTTTGTACTAGTTTGAACAAGCAATGCCATCTCTTTCTCTCAAAAGATGTATGCCATGGAAATACAAAAAGGAGTCCTGGAGCCTGGAGCATTCATTATGGCAGAAATACGGTAAACATTTATTATATCAGAAATAGCAGACTGCACACCACTGACCGAACAACGGATGTGTCAAAATGATGCATTACTTGAATTTTGCTTCACTTTCCTCTCTCCTTTCTACCTGAAAACAAACATGGGACTGGATTTTAAAAAGTAAAATAAAACTGGAGAAAGACTAAATGATATGATATCAGAGCTCCCTGAAGACATAATAAAAGGAAATTGGTAGAGGTCATTATGATTCCTGTTTATTGATTAAAGTA